TTAATTAAAAGTAATAGTTTTAGAAGCACTTCTTAATGGTGTACCTATTTAAAGCTAAAATCTGTGGTCAATATTTCTAAGTTTCAGGTTTAGAATAAATAATATTGATAATAATAACATGAATAAATTATTTATTAAAAAATCTAAACTAGATATCCATTGCTTACTTTTAATGTAAAAAGCTTTATGTAAAAGAACAATATTTAATTTAAAACATAACAATATTATACATTTTTAATATTTGTTACAATCAAAACTTATGTAACTAGGTACGTAAAAAATACAATGAAACAAAAATGTAATCATGTACTGAAAATTGTAATATAATGATTATAACATGATAAAGAAATTTACTTTATCATGGATTATAATATAATACTATCTTATAGATTCAATTTTTATACTAAAATATATCAGTGTTATTGTTATACTAACTATAATAAAATAAAATGTTTACTTTCAAAACTAACAGGAAGTGGCGGAAAAACAGGAGTTTCTAAAGAGCACCGAACTATTATAACCGATATATTAACAAAAATGATTTGGTTTATTTGTTAGAATTCAAAAATTGTATAGAGTAAACTTAACATTTTTTTCGAATAATGATGGTAAAATTTTAAACGGTAAGAAGTTTATTATTTTGACTAAAAACTCACTTCTTCACTCAGAATCGTTTTATTATTTGATAATCAATATAATTTGAACACTGTCTATATAAATATATAATAATATAATATAATATATATTGCATATTATACATATTATATGTTATCATTTTCATTTTTAAACCATAATCACAGTAACATCGTTTATATCACAGTTGTACAACCGTGGTTTATATTATACCTTGTATGCAAATCTCGAACTAAATTAAAATATACCAACGATACCTAGGTTGTTCGTGATAAAAATGGAAATGTTGGGATCACGGTATATTATTTTGTACAATGTCGTAATTTAATATTTACTAGTGACTGACGAAGTGATACCAAATTACCAACATTAAATATATTCTAGAAAATATTATTATTAAAAATAACTTTCATGTTTTTGAAACGAAATTTTTTATGGCACAATAGGGTCTGGCCGGGAAAAAACGTTCCAGAATTTATAATATTATATTAAACAGTTATTTTAGCCAAAACATAACATTTTATTCCATCTTACTGAGTAATTCGATATTACTTTTCAAAACTGATTTAAATTCATTATTATGGACAGACTGATGTCAAATAGACATTCTAACAAATTCAGATGGATGGAACAAAAAAAAAAAAAAGCGGGAGCGGTAAGTAGTAGTGACAGTTGTATATTCATTATAATATATTATATCTTGCGTATATTGAACATTGATAATATAATAATTATAGATAATATATCACTACACTAAGTATATTATGCATTTATAATTATTATAAGTTATAACTAATAAAATATATAAGTAATAAGTATATATAAGTATTGTATTGTACGTAATATATTTTTCGTCACACCTGCACCGAAAGTTTGGTTTTCGATAGCCGTTAAAGCGTTCGAAAGCGTCCTTTTTCCGTCCATCGGGCCGTAAAGTGGAAATCCTCAAAAGTGCTGGGTACGTATATCAAGCGTATAGGCGGGTTTCCACTATACACGTTTGCCGTGTACACGAAAAATGTTCAGCTATGTCCAACAACACGGTATCATGGTTAACCGTGTGGTAACTGATCGTAAACAACCAATCACAGCAAATGATTTGTATGCACGTACTAGCATCCGTGTATAGTGGAAAGCCGCCACACAACCAGACACTTCGATACACAACCAGACACTGAAATCTATACCATGGTCCTTACAAAACATAAAATTTTGGTTACATCTTATATACACATTATAATCTCCTTGCATGACGCGTAAACAATTTTATTTCATAACATTGTTTTCTTAGAATAATCTGATTGTTGCATATATATTATATCCCTATTATATAGTGCTTTACCTTGGCCATGATTAAATTTTTTTGTGCTTCACGTTTGGTATAGACTAGGTAATAGAAAACTGGTATAACGCGAGGATTTGAAACAGCGGAGTAAGATCTGCATATTATGCTTTATAATTATTATAGTATATAAAAATTAAGAGAATGGAATGATTGGACATGTATAGAGAGCTGAAAATGACATCATTTAGGTGAAGGAATCCTTCCTAACACTGAAATACCTATCTAAAATCTACATTTTATAAATGTCTAAAATAATAAGAACTCGGTTGAGTATTTGACATCTTAATCATAATATGACGTAGCATGTACCCTTTTGCACTAGTTTAATTCAAATATAATTAGTCATAAAACATGAATTTCTCGTTATTATATTTTAAAAAATTATGTAATAATATGTATTGTACTTAAAATATGCAATATAGAAATACTTTTAAGATGATTCATGGATATAACTGATCAAATTATTTTAGAAACTAGAAGTGCCCTTCCAAAAACATATCAAAGCATATCAATTATAGCCTTAGGCACAATATAACAACTAATAAGTAATAAACGTTAACTATTATAACCTATATTATTTTATTCAATTGTCTACCTTTGTTTATTATAAATTCAACCATAATCTTATTGATTTTTATTTTGTATTAATTTCATAAGAAAGTTTTTTTTTAGATTCCAAGCTAAATTACGTTTGCTTTTTTGTGTCTGCCGCCGCGTTTTGAAGCACAACATTAAAATAATGTTGTCCAACCAATATGTTCAACTACCTACCGCGGGTTTATCACTGAATATTCATAAATGCAATTTTATGCCATTCTTTAGATATCGTGTTCCTATTGTTTTTGATTATGATATCAGTGACACATTGAAATACTATATGCTAATATAGTTAGTAGCTAATATATGCTACTATATGCTAATTACACGCTCACAAAACCTGATTAGAGTGACTTTGACATTATTTTTTATACTAAAATTTTACATTCCATTCAAATATAGAAGTATTCAGTATTGTGGGCAGTGAGGCACTCGAACTTCTTGGCCGTGTTACTCTGTATTAGACGTATCATTTGTGCTCAGTATAAAATATTTTGTAAACTATTTTGTATGTCCTTGTAATGTGCACTAAAATGCTGTAGTAGAATATGAATTTCAATATATTTTGTATTGTGGGATCCGCAAACATAATTCTAATCATAGTTTTCTAGCAGATCGAGTGCAGCCATTTTTTCTTGCCATTTGCCGGGAATATATTAAATTTAAATTAGATCACGTACATCATGATTATTATCCGGTTCTTTTGTTTTATCTTCTTGCTAGCCGACAAAAGAGTTAAAGCCAATTTGGGTTTTTTTTAACAAAGTAACCATCAGGTAAAATGGATGCACCATTTGGTTGTATATTAATTTTAAAGTTCCTTGTTTTTTTTTGTTATTTTTTTTGTTTGTATACTTTCTAGTTAATTTAAGATACATTAGTAACATTACTATTGTAATTTCTTAAAACAGATCTATTTATCCAGGATTTTAAGGAATAAATTATAAAAATTATGGTAACAAAAATTCAAAGCATTATTCAATTTTAAAATTATGCTGTACAGAGCAGTTCAATGTGGACGAAAGATTAATTAATTATAGGTTATATTAAGGACACTAGAACATTTCTCAAAAATAAATAAAGAGCAAAATACTTAAACATATATATTTTATTTTATAGTACTTTGTATTTATCTACTTGTCTGCCTTTACTCTATTACATCTATACATTTAATATATTTATATATGTACTCATAAACTATACCTAATATAAAATATTTATATTATTTATATGAATTTATAACTATAAAAAGTGGAAAATGTTGACTCAACAATTTTAATTTTGGTGTAATATACATAAATATTTTATACATAATATATTTCATAAAATTAGATGTTTTATTTTAGCTTTGATTTTTATACATTTGGTACCCTAGTGAATATACTGGAATAGGTACATTATTTTATTGAATCATTATTTATAACATACATGAGTAATAACTTTTTAATTAGCTATTAATTATTAATTGATATTAATTGAATATAATGATATTGAATATAATTAATATTAAAATGGTGGATCAAATACAAATTAAATGTCATTAAATTATGTTTTTTTCAACATAATATAATATCATCCAATCAATGTTCATCGCCAGATATGTGGGTTCAACTCAAAAGTCAAAAGGTCTTCACATTTAGCACTATTCAATTTGTTATATGATTAAATAAAATAAATTCTGTCTTGGAGAGTTCTTCAATAGACTGGCGTACCTCATGTCTATTATTGTTGATATAATTGTATATCATGTTATCTAAAATTTACTTATTGTGTGGACAATAATAAAGTTGTAAAGTTTTATAGTAAATAAAAAAACTTCAAAAGCATTATAACTTTTTTTATTTCATACAGAATACAAAATAAGTAATTAATTAAAAAATTCATATACCTACAATATTTTATAACATAGTTGTTGTTTTTGGGTTTACATAAATAATGTAACTTATCATAATACAAGTAGATTTTATACACTGAATTTGATGTAATATTAAAAATCAGTCAAGTACCCAAAGTTGAGAAAAAATTAAATTAATTTTTAATTTTTACTTCGAAAACCTTATTGCTTTTTAACACTAACATCTAACATATTATACAACTCTAAATATAAAACGCATTTCAAAGATAAGTAATATTATTTTATATATTTTAAAACTATTTAGTACAAATACAAAATTAATTTAACTATAATCAGTTAAGACTGATTTTGGATAAAGTTAAAATTATTACAACATAAATTGTAATATTTGAAATCTACTCTTCATAAATCATGTTCGTGGTATCATTCAAATGTAAATTTAAATATGTTTTTATAAGCGTACCAACTAACAAGTTAAGATTTACTTGGTCGACTTTGAAATATTAAATATTCTTCAAAGGTTTTGTTTTGATTTCCGTGTACATGGTTAATGTATCCATTTAGGTAAAATCAATAAAACAATAATTGGATATTGGTTTCACTGTTAAAATGATAACATTTATCTTTGATGGCGTTTAGTATCACGATGCGATGAATACCGTTAGTGATTCCACACTTGTATGCCAGCTGATCATCCGTTATAAACCTAAGACATATTAATTTATTATTTAATTAATTTTATTACATATTATTACATATTATGTAAAGTATGCAATTTAAAATAAAAATAAGAATTTTAATCATAAGACATAATCAACATGATGATTATAATCATCTAAATTTATAGGTAGTAGGTACATTTTTAAAACAAAGTTATAAAAAAATTATATTTTTGGAAAACAATAAAAACTAAAAAATCTAACCCGATCTTTTCACAGTTGATCCCAGCATTCAACATAGAGTACGTATAAATAGAGAACTCTGGCCCAATTGATTGTAAAAATGAGTTCAAATTGGTCGGATCCATACAGCTATAGTCGGCCAACTGTTTTAACTTGTGTAATTCCCTCATAAATCTAGAATAAAAATATGTATAAAGGTTAAAATATTATGATCTATCAATGTTACATCAACTATTGGCGATATTTAAGTTATGACAATGTATTATTATTCAAACATTTTTAAAAGTTTATACTATTGGTTGATAATAATTTTAATTTGTTATGAACCAAAATAATAATGAATATGCGCTGTATATAAATTATAAAGGGGATTGCATTTAGATATTATTACTTATAAAAATATAATTAACCAACATAAGAAATTTAAAAAGATGACTTATCACTTTTCAGTGTGTTGTGTGTAAAAAATAGTGTGGTCAGTTTAATCTTAATAATTAAATAGTTTCTTACATAGAACTAGCCACCAGGAGAAATATAATCGAAAATAAAATCATAACTTAAAATAGGTTTGATTCGATTGTATGACAAAAATAATTTTTATTATTTAATTATAATAGTGTACTATTCTTATCGGAAACCGACGTCATCGTAATTTCGAGAAAAATAAAAACAAACAAATTATATCCTTATTTTTCGAGTGCCACGGATTCGTCATCCCTGATATAGACAATGAACATATTTTTAATAATATACATTGCATCTATACGTACCTAGTAATATTAATTCCTTAACACGTACCTATTACATTTTTAAAACAGATTTTAACCCTAAATCAAACAGAATCGTTTAATTTTAATGCAGTTTGTTTTTTTTCACACTGAAATAAAAAAAGTAGTACAAAGAGGTTTTGTAGGACCAAGGACAATATCAATATAACCAATAATGTAGCCACCTTTTACGCATAATTCCGTTATGCATCCCGACGAATTTTTTCAGGCATTCCTCGGTCAACGTCAACAGCTTATTGCCGTCCATCTGGTTATCCACCAAGCTTTCGGCCCATTCTCCGAAACCAGTACTCTTGGTCCACTGGAGGACGTCTTCGACCGTCCACAGCGGAACTTTCTGGCTGAGCGGTCGCGGCACTTGTTCACCGATACTCCGCAACGCTTGTGCCGCTAACCCGGAAGTCACGTCGTTGAGGGAACCGGCCAATTTCTTCAGCGGTTCGACGGCGCTAATCGACCTGAAGGTTCCGGAGATCTTGCCGTGGCGAAGCTGACTCGAGGGCTCGGCTTCCGCGCAAAAATGGAAGGCGGCCAAAGTGTGTGCCACGCGACGGTCGCAGCTCAAAACGGGGACGAGCCGCTGAAGCCAACTCCGACCTTGGCCAAGGGCGTTGGTTTTAACCAGATCGGCAGGAATGTGCGTGGCGACGAAGGGGTTGATCAGGTCAAGGGCGTCGCACTTGACCATGGCCACCTCGATAGTTTTGTCGGCCGCCAGTACGGCCGTGGCCAGCAGAGCGTAATATTTGACGCTGTCGTCCGTGTTGAACGCCAACGTAAAGAGCCAAGTGTGTGCGTGACGATGGACCATCAGATTGTGAACCTCGGGGCCGCCGTACAGCGATAAATTTGCAAGTGCACGGGCACAATTTCGCAGGGTCACGGTATCACGACTCTGGCATTCAGCCAGTAGTACATCTAAACCGTTCAGTTGGATGACACGCTTACACGTACCTTCACTGTGTTCGAATAACTTTGCAAGTAAACCTGTAAGGCAATTTAGATATCAATTAAAATGATAAGAAATTATGGAAGAAGAGAAAAAATATTGTAACCAATTATCTGCATTATATACTTTTGAAAACGCATACATTACAGTATATCTGCAATATTATATGGGTAATACATATAGGTATAATATAAATATTATAATATACCTAATATTGATTTTGAAGAGAGTGATTTAATTTAATTTTTAACTTGAATTTACAAATTAATTTTAATTTATTGTGTAATTAATAGTTATAACTATAATACGCGGTATTCTGACTTGGATGTATTCATATATTAATTTTGTATTACTTTTAAATTACGTCGCTGTTAATGTGTTTTCGTGGGTAAAATGCAAAAGAGATTAAAAAAAAAAAATCTATATTTGCATAACTTATTACCAGTGCTGACTATCGATTGGTCGACAGTGCTCTTCTCTTGACTCCTATACGCGTGCACAACGTGCATGACTTTAACCAGGCCGTGTTGGACCACGTAGTCCAGATTTCCTGGGTCGAGGCATTCCACCAATAGCCTGGCACTGGTGTATTGGAGTGTCGGGTCTTTGGACACGCAGTTTTTTATCAACAAATCCGTTCCACCACAGTCCCGGAACTTGTTGCGCAGCACATTATTTAGCTCGTGAATCGTCTTCGGCAGGCACATCAAGTTGTACAGTTTGTTGAGCATAGTCGGTCCTTGGGTATCGGTGAACTTGCCAGCAATGAGTCCCTTGACAGCGTTCTCCAGGTACAGTGAATACTTTTTAATGGCGTTTACCACGTCTTGAGTGCTGGCGATCTCTCGCATTTGGTCTAGATCACCAAAATTGGTGTTTAACAGATAGTTGTCGTTCCTGATCTCCGCGTGAGTTTTTATCACGCGGGGTGATGAACCACCGCTGCCGGTAGATGAATCGGTCTGTGTAAGCTAAAACCAACAACGTTTGTGCAAAGTTAGCAACAGTCGATCACCGAGACGGACATATTATCGTGAAATAAAAAATAAATATATCAGAAGATTACTTGATAAGTTATGTCGCCGACAGCATCTCCGGAGGGCAGACTCGCTCGATTATCGTTTGTATTGAATGTAAAACTAAACTGCGGTGTAGTTCGACTCGGCGAGGAAATCATTTGTCTCTGTTGCAACGCGCCTGGAGCCATCTCGCCGTATGGTAATAAATCCCTTCCAACATTATTCAATTTAGGGTATCACTCAAATGATTTAACAGTTATAAACTAAAAAACTAAAACTAAAATTAGTTATCAACTGATAACTGTTGCCTGTTGTATAGGTTTATTATAACCTTGTGGCACCATAAAATGTATTAAGATGTAGTTATAAAAACTCGAAATATGTTCTAACCGTGATTCATGTTAAAATAAATAATAATTAGAAATTAATAAAAGATGCTTGTAAAAACTCGAATTACAATACTACGAAACAAGCATTGAACGATTTAACAAAAACGAATGAAATGAATTGCGCATATAAACCAAAACTCTCTATTGATAATACTATATTGTATTATAATATAATTATTAATTACCTACTAAGTTAAAATAAAATAAATATAATTAACTACTTTGATTTCAAGCATAGGTAAACCAAAAAAGGTGCACTCGTGAATATTTACAAGTAAATAAAGAGTTTAAGAACTAGCTTTCAATTTATGAACATATCATAGGTAATAATATTATTATATTGTTTACAAATAGTTGTTACTAATGTTTACTTTATTCTGCTTTCCATGAATAGTTTCAATTGCATATTGATATGCAGAAGCATAGATAGTTTTTTTCTAGTATTTTAATTTATATGTCAAGTATAATATATTATAGATAAATATGTAATACATACCTTTCTGAATCGAAGTTATAGATTCGTAATTCTAACGCCACTACAGATATTTTGATGTTTGATTTAAGTGAATTCTCCAATTTTCAAATGTCGATTTTTTTGATCGAAATAATATAAGAATAAGAAATCGACGACGTGCATCGCACTGACAGAAGAATATTATGTATAAAATGATTTCAACTCACTTCTATTTATATTGACCGCTAAAAGTAAAATGACAACGATGTAGAAAACGCTGATAAGTATATATACAATATATCAGTACAGTATATACAATTATTATTACGCATTAACTGGCCTGATGAAATTATATGGAGGAGGGCTATAGCTATTCCTATTATTTTGGGTACACAATATATATTCTAAAAACTTAACTAAAAAAAAAAAAATGTATGAGGGGTTAGGCGAAATGCCGGAACTCACCACGAACTTATTCATGTGGATCTACAAAACGCAGTATTGACTAAGTTTTTTAACTTAAAGGTTGGTAACAGTATTAACAATTACATACATAATACATATATGATTTAATATTATAATAACTGTACTTCATACCCAAATATATATGTATGATGTTTTTGATAAAAATAGTTAAACATACCATAGTATTGTGTTAATAGTAATATAAATAAATTATAATACTTGAAATTTATAATACCTACTATAGTATACTAAAGAGTGACAGAGTGACTTCCCCAAATTGTTTTGGTTATTTTTATACTCATTATTAAGAAAAAATAGGGAATAGCTTATTTTAACCAAAGTAAAAACAATCCAAAACATGATTGACGACAGTAAAAATAAAATATAGCTGTTAAATTAAATATAAATGTAATTATTAATAAATAATGTAATTGCTTACAATAAAAAAAAAATTACATTTTGCGTAACATAGTTAAGATTTCTAAAATACAAAGATTTGATATTAAAATTGCACAGTGATAAAAATAAATCATTATCGTCACGCTCGCGAATAACGCATTTACGCAGTGAATAAAATATATCGTAATAGTTATAATAGGTACCTCTACTAGTGAAGTTTAGATAATAAAGACAAATTTAAATTAAGTATAATGTCAAAATAGTTACTTATATTTTTTTTACAAATTTATATGAGAAAAAAAATAACTTAACTTAGTTTAAAATCAGTTACTTTTTTTTTTATATAATAATTAATAATAATAATGAGTACCTATACAAACGTTTATTGGATACTGGTAAATTAGTAATATTATTGTTATTTTTTTCTTAATAATAATTTATGCCCTGTAACTGTTCTGATAACTATTAGTCACAACTACCGTTATCTTATCTAGATGTAGGTACTATGTTCTGTCATTATACAATTACACTATCAATATAAATTATAATTTATTACTTATAACTATACACATAAGCGCAACTGGAGAGCTGAGACGGCTTATCCCCCTAAAAAATGAATCATAGCCTTTTCAAGACAAATAAATCTTCAACCTCTTATAATGAAAATTCAAAATGAATAAATAATAATAATTAAGAGGACGCTATACCCGTATGCTTTGTCTCCGTCTTACAAATTCACAACATAGCAAAAACTGTTTTCGGCGGGTCAACTATGCTCACTCTGTATTTATATTAGAATTAATTACATTTCACAACACACAATAGGATGAACTTTATCTGTGTCGTAGCGTTTTTGTTTTTTTTTGATAGCACTTACCAATAATTTTTAATTATTAAACTAATGTTCTCAAACTGATAACTTTAATTATATTTACGTTACCCAAATTATAAAAACGCTACGACACAGATAAAGTTCTTCCCTATTTGTTGTGGAATTTTATTAATTCTAATAAAAATACAGAGGGAGCATAGTTGTCGCATAACAGTTTTTGCTATGTTCTGTATTTGTAAGACGGAGAAAACTCGCCAGGCGGGTATAAGGTCCTCTTAAGAGGATGTCACACCCGCATGTGTTGTCTCCGTCTTACAAATGAACAATATAGCAAAAACTGTTTTGCGTGGGACAACTTTTCTCGAGGTTAGTTACCCTGGCCCCGCCACTTACGATTTATAAATGGAAATTAATGTCAAATTATGTAATATCATTTGTAATCATTTGTAACCACAAAAAAAAATTGTAACCCACCCACTTCGGCTCAAAACCTAAAACTAACCTCTTTTCTCGAACCATATTTGTTGTAGAACTACCAAATGTTCATAACACGTAAAAAAAAACTTTATCTGTGCAACAGACTAACAGAGTGCTTTTTATGAGTTTTTTATTCATAATTCATATAGTTGTTTTTTAGGGTTCCGTACGGTAAACGGGACCCTATTACTAAGGCTCCGCTGTCACCAGGCTGTATCTCATGAACCATAAAAGTTAGAAAGTTGAAATTTCCACAGGTTATGTATTTCTGTTGCCACTATAACAAAAAATACTAAAAATCCTAGAATATAGATTATAATAGAAGTGTTGTTGCCAACATGTTTATAGATGATAGTACGGAACCCTTCGTGTGCGAGTCCGACTCGCACTTGTCCGGTTTTTTTTAATAGCACTATCCAATCAGTTTTTATAAGCAAATCAAAAAAAGGTGGGTAAGTGGATGTCGCTATGCTGTACAGTAGGTTACAAGTAGGTCACTGTATAATGGATGCTATTAAATTTGAATTCAATGATACAATATCATTGTATAAGAAAAACGATTCTGAGCGAAAAGGGTATTGTCAGTCTAGGTTTAAGACAAATTATATACATATCTATGGTATTAAAACAAAAATTGACATATAATAAATTCCAAATTAATCATATCACATTATCACAATATCCATTAGGTACTTATAACACGTTATACATCAACATCAATAACAAACCCTGATACTATCATAGATATATAATATTACACTTTATAAGTTTCAAGTAGGTAGGTACCCACGAATAATATTATATAATCACAACAAAATAACTAGGTTTTTTAATATGTAATTTCGTCCAAATTTGAACATAAAATTACTATAAAAATAAACTGTGATTGTATATATTTTAGATTTTTTGGTAAGAGAATTAACTACTTGTCGTGGAATCTTGTTTAAAATTTTCAATCCTTAGCTATAAAAACTGAACATTTTATAATTTATTAATTACGATGATTAATAATTTTCGAGATTTTGAAAAATTCTGTCAAAATTCGATGTTTAAATGCTTATAAAAAAAAATTGTGCCTATGTATTTTTAATATTTTTCAACTGATATTGTAACAATATATCACAGCCTTGTATTAAATTTTTACACTTTTTGGCCGAACAGATAAAACTTTATTGATATTCATAGAAAAAAAAACTAAAAAAATTGAAAAATGAAAATATCCGTAAAAAGCTCAAAAAGAGTCAAAATATTTTCAAAATTGTATGGTGTATAGGAAATGCTAATATAAACATTCAGTGAAATTTTCATGTATCTATAGTTATTCGTTTATGAATAACAACCAAATAAGGAAATCGCTACATGAGAAATCAAGTGAACATCCAATGTTGTAAAAATTTGAATTTCAAACGCTCATAAAAATTTAATTTGACTTTCCGGTAGAGATTTTTTTATTGATAAAGGTTAGGTTAGGTAAATCTTACTTATGAGTAATCTTGTATTACATTTTCAAATCTTAGATTTAAAAAGAAAAATTATTACGAATTCTTAACTCAAAATAATTTGCTAATTTTCGTGATTTTTCCATATTTTGTCAATTTTTGAACTTTAAATGCTTATAAAAAAAAAAACTGTGACTAACGATTTTTAATAATTTTAATCTGCCTTTGAAACAATATACTAGGAGCCTTCTATTAAATTTTCAAGTTTTTTTAACCAACAAATAAAATTTTATTGATATTCCTAGAAAAAAAACTAAAAAAAAATGAAAAATGAAAATGTCCCTAAACAGTTCAAAATTAATCAAAATATTTTGAAAATGTTATCGTGGATAGAAAATGCAAATATAAACAACCAGTGAAAATTTCATGTATCTACGGTCATTTGTTTTAAAGTTACACCAAAAACCAAATTCAATTTTCTGAAAAATCGATTTTCCGTAAAAATTCACGTTTTTCCTTAATTTTTCTTTTGTTTTTCTTGGCGCTTTTGAAAAGTACTGGGAATTTTAAATTTTGACCTCCCCAATGCACCAACAATATTCACTTTCCAATCGAACACGATACTGAAGTCGAAAATCGAAGCATTATTTCGACTACTTATCGTGTACACAGACACAAAAAAAATAAAAAAACGCATATCATTGTAAAATCAAAACATTCATCGTTTCACTCA